GGGACAGGTCTGTCACTGTATAACACTGGGGTACAGTACCGGTGGGGGACAGGTCTGTCACTGTATAACACTGGGGTACAGTACCGGTGGGGACAGGTCTGTCACTGTGTAACACTGCGGTACAGTACCGGTGGGAACAGGGTCTGTCACTGTATAACACTGGGGTACAGTACCGGTGGGGACAGGTCTGTCGCTGTATAACACTGGGGTACAGTACCGGCGGGATTCGGGTCTGTCCCTCTGTATATTATATACATTTATGGCACCTACTGGGACCCCTGTAAACCTGCTGCTGTGTTATGTTTGAAGTTGTTTGTGGGATCTGGGTGTCACTGACTCGGCCGGCGTTTGTTGTCTATCCCTAATTGCCCAGAGCGCAGTGACATGTCAGAGCACATTGCTGTGGGTCTGCAATCACATGCAGGCCCAAACGAGGTGAGAATGGCAGATTTCCTTCAGTGAAGGATGTCGGTCAACGAGAGAGGCTTTTGTTTTGGTCCCCAATCATTTGACTCTCGATTCCAGATTTTAGTTTCAATTGAATTCCGATGTCACCCATCTGCCGTGGCACGTGTGGAATGTGGGTCTCTGGGTTAATAATCTGACAGTACTGCGAGACTGTTGCCTTGCTGAGGTGGTGACAGCAAGGCAGGGAAGGCGGCAGGATGATGGCTGAGGAGGAGCACGAGGCCGTGGCACGTTGGACATGGGCAGAGTCCAGGGGGTTACCGTTCCTGACCCGTGTCCTCATGCCTCCAGTGACCTGAGCCCAGCTCTGTTGTGGCGCGGGTGATGGGATCTGTCGTGCGTGTCTGCCTTGGCTTAGCGCCCGAGTTGTCGGTGTATTTTCGAGCCCCTGTCTCCACTTGGTGTTGGTTCAATCCCTGTGTTCCAATTGCCAGGTTCCTAAACCTTGGAATTCTTTCCTGAAACCTCTCCAGCTCTCTCTCTCTCTCTTTTCCTGTTAGACGTTGCCTGTAGTCTGTTACTTGTGTGTTTGGGAGAACTGCTGGACATGGTAACCTCGGGCAGGCTGGGATTGACTGGGGTCTGTTCCTGGGTTCATCACCGCGGTCAGACTAATGGGCAGTGATAGGCGAAGTGGGCTGATGCTTGCTGTACCAGGAAGCTAACTCTGTGAGCAAAACTGTCAGCCCGCTCGTGTGCGTGTGTGACCTTGTCTGTTCGCTCCATGTAAAAGGAATTTGTCTCGCAGCCAGGCCCAGTGCTGTGTGTTTAACCTTGGGATTGTTTACAGAGCTGGGCAGACAAGGCGCCATGTATTAACCCTCACCTTGAGTAGACAAGGGACCCTGCACAGTAATCCACACCCTTGACTATGCACAGTAACTCCTACCCTGATTAGACAGGAATGCTTTCCCCGTATCCCTTAACCTGTAAACACGGACTCAATACAGTAAATATGTGCATTGAATGTGGAGGATGCTGCAGATAATAGGTGGATATTGACCAGTGTAAAAAAGATGTGAGATATTGGTTTGTGAGAGAGCAGGATATGCGTGAATATTGAGAGTGAGATGCAACAAGATATAGGCCCATGCGTGTGTGAGATATGGGTGGATGTCAGTCACTGTGTGAGAGTGAGATTTGGGTGGATATTGCTCGTGTGAGTGCGATATCGGTGAATATCTGTAAATGGGAGTGTGATTACAGGTGAATATCTGTAAATGTGAGTGCGATTACAGGTGAATATCTGTAAATGTGAGTGCGCTATCGGTGAATATCTGTAAATGGGAGTGCGATTACGGGTGAATATCTGTAA